CTATAGGCTGTTTATTCTTTCTTGTTATTTATGTTTTTCTGTAATGGGCCTTATTCTGGGCCCATCCTGTCTATATTATGTTCTTTGTAAATTTTTGCCCAACTAAGGGCCTCCTTGTAATTATTCAAATCTATCTTAATAAAATAGTGTTGGGGTGCTGAGAGAGTGTTAGGTTCGAAACTCTCATTCTCAGACCCTCATTGCCGAACTCTCAAGCTCTCTTCTCTTCAGTTTTCTTCAGTAAGGACTTCAGCTCACAAATGCCGTCATGGTCATCCCCCGTTAGGAGCATGTTATCAACATATAATAGAAGAATAGTAATACCCTGGGGTCTTCTCTTAACATAGAGGGAGTAGTCAGAGGAACTCTGATTATACCCGCTACAACAACAACATCCCGGAAGCACTCAAACCAAGCCTTGGGTGCTTGCTTCAGGCCATATAAAGACTTCTTCAGGTGACAAACACATGAAGGATCACTGCAATATCCAGGTGGAGGTTTCATGTAGACTATCTCCTTTAATTCGCCATGAAGGAACACATTCTTCACATCTAATTGATAAATAGTCCAGGAATAAACAATAGAAATGGCTATAAGAGTCCGAACTGTGGTGACCTTAGCGACCGGGGCAAATGTTTATTCATAATCAATTCCATATTCTTGACTGTATCCTTGGGAAACTAACCGGGCCTTATATCGATCAAGAGAGCCATCTGATTTCAGTTTGATTGTATAGACCCAACGACTTCCAACAATAGAAACACCTGGAGGAGCTGGCACAAGATCCCAAGTGTCATTCTCATGGAGGGCTTGAATTTCGGCATCCATAGCTTCTTTCCACTGAGAACTTCTAATGGCTTTCTGATAAGATCTAGGGATATTTGTGGAAGAAAGTACAACAGAAAAGGAACTATGGTTTGAAGGAAAACCATAGCAATTAGGAGGTCGAGAGATATGGGTAGAACAATGAAGTAGAATAACTGAACTACTATCTGAAATAGGAGGATCTTGGGTCAAGGTATCACTTATAGAGGATATCTGAGATGAATGCTCTGAACCGGGTGGAAGGGGGGTTGTAGGCGCAGGGGCTGGGATACGTAGCCGCTTGCAGGTGAAGACAAGAAGATGCCTCTCGGTTGAGGAAGTAGTAGTGTCATTTGAATCAAAGTCCTGCAAAATAGAGATGGAAGGAGCAGACAATCTAGCAATCCCAGCAAAGAAGGAGATATGATCAAGAAACACAACATTCCGAGAAATCCGAATACGATGAATAGCAGAATCATAACACAAAAATCCTTTGTGGTCAGGACTATATCCCACAAAGGCACACATAGCAGACTGAGCAGCTAATTTAGATTGTTCACGAACAGGAAGATAAACAAAACAAAGACATCCAAAAACATGAAGGCTTGAGAAATCTGGGGGATACCCAAAATGAAGTTGATCAAATACACGGTTGTACTGGCTGCTTCTACCCCAAATGAAGTTGGAGTATGAGACTCCTGTAGTAATGTCCACACAACACTGAGAATGTGTCCGTTCTTCCGTTCAGCTACACCATTCTGTTGTGGAGTTTCTAGGCAGTTGCGTTGAGATTGAATTCCATGACTCCTCAAATATGCCAAGAATTCCCCATCTCTATATTCTTCCCCTAAATTTGAGCGGAGGATAGTCACATTGCACTTGAATCGATTTTGCACCATAGTATGAAACAATTTAAATGCACCAAAAACTTCTGATTTGTGTCGTAGAAAATAAATCCAAGTATATTTGGTACAATCATCTTTAAATAATACGAAATATCTGTACCCCAATCATGAAGTAATAGAAGCAGACCAAACATCACTATGTATTATCTCAAAAGGTTTAGTGGCATGTTCAGATTTATTAAGAAATGGTAAAACATGACTTTTACTCAAACAACATTGTTGGTTCGGCTGTTATTAGTGTTTAAGTGGTTTTATTTGTGTCTTATGTTCTTAGTTATTGGGCCTAAACCTGTTTAATGTTTTAATTGTTTTATTTGTCTAGGTGTCCCATCACTAATCAGGGGCATTCTAGTCC